ACCCCATCCCTAGCTTATATTACTGTAGTACCATGGTATTAAAAGTTACCTGATTTGTAAAAAATTAATGATTACGGATTATGGATTTTTAAGAGAATTGCACACAAGCTTAAGTGGAAATATAACAGCTGAAGATTGAAGTCCCAAGCAACAATTTAAGTATTTGTTACGTATATGGGACTATTGAAGAAACTTCAAAGTGTTTTGCGACAGTCGCCGGTCTCTTTATATTACTCTTTCATTACTACGTTACGACTAAAGTGGGGAACAATTATTGAGTTCCAAAAAGGTAGCAAATATGTCACTAGCTACCAACCCTGCTACTATTTGGGACGTAGCTGCTACGTTACTAGAACGTTCCAATATCGTTGCTAGAGCGTTATAATTACTTTTATTATTTGTTTTTACTTCTATATTAACTGTCTTTGTCAAACTTATATTAGATTATACTATCCCTCCTTTTTTAAATGGAACCACTACGGACTTGGCTTTTCAATGTCGTCGTTTATTAAATATGTACTGGTAGTTTATAACTTCCAGAATAACAATATAATGTTTAATTAGACAGGTAGATTTATAAACCCTTTAAATTTTACTGTTGAACTTATGAATTTAGTTTTTGTAAAATAAATGCGCTTCATCAATATTTAAGTATAAACAAATTATTTATTTAGTAATGTTTATAAATAAAAAAATATTAATATTTTTTTTTTTTATTTAATTATTAATACCGTCTATTACACAGTACGACAAAATTTGATTTTTGGTCCCTCCCATGAAAAATTTCTACAGATTCTAAAAATAGAGTTAAAAAAATGATACCCGTGTCTCGGCGTTTTTTCACATCACGTCATAATTTTTTTTTAAGGGCTATCCAATAAAATGTTATTCACACTATTCGCGACATAATTTAATAGACTCGATAACAGCTGGACTGCATAGTTAAAAATATATATATTTACCAAATGGATAGGCAACCATTATAGATGCATTTTAAAATTATTTTAATCTTATACAGAGTTTTGCACATTTATATATATATCAAACGGTTTATTTTTAAACCAAGTAACAAAATGTTTCAATTTTAAGCCAATCAAAATGCTTTAAAGTCGGGTGATTACAATTTTTATTTATTCAATTTTTTGTAAAAATTGAGCTTTGTTGAATTAACATTTTTAAAAAAAATTAAAAGATATTGAATTGATGAATGAATTGATGAATTGATTTAAGTCTTAAAGCAAGTGTACCTAAAACATATTTAATTTAAATAAAAAAAAGTATTTAAGTATACGAAGTCAATTGAAACAGCAAAAAAACAAAAAATTTACACATCTGCGGCATTTATACATAAAAAGCATTGTTTTCAAAACAATCTTTATACAAGAGTAATACTTTTTTTTTAATGTTAAATAAAAACAATATTGCAGCGATAAATCGATAAATTTTTCATATTAATTTTGATTCTTGAGTTAACCATCCATTTGAAATCAAAGTAAAAATGCAGTGTCCGAATCGAAATAATTTTTGTTAGGTATGTATGTGGTTTATTTGCACCTCCAAGCCATATGCGAAATATTACAAAAAGTGTAGTAACAGCTTTTGAAGACTATTTTTTGGTGACGTATATACCAAACTTATGGTATGTACCAGAGGTTTTATGCGATTAATGTTACCGTTGTTTGCATGGATTGCAAGATAAAACACACAGTATGAAATATGTTGCACCAACAATTTGGCTTCGACCCGTCGCGACGTACCGAACACGCATCTGACCAGTGTTATTTCTGCATGTCAAAATTAAAAAGTTTTGGATTTCGGTACAATTCTAGAGAGAAAATTGATTACGCCGATGTAGAATCCGTCATTCTCGCAAGAGTGCGATCTGAAGATTATCCAACTGCTCCTTCAGAAAACATATGTGAGGATAAAAGTAAAAGACCTTTAACACCCAGTACAACCATTTTTTCCGAGATGGAATCTGAATTTATTCCCTGTAGTTCGGGTTATAAAGTACATTTTATAACACAGGACATGAAAGTACATATGTCACTGAAAATACATTTTCTCCATGCTCATTTGGGCTATTTTCCACCAAATTTGGGCGATTTTAGTGACGAACATGGCGAACGTTTTCACTAAGACATTTTAACAATTGAAAAACGCTTCAAGGGAAAAGACGTCAGGCATTTGCTGGGTGAATATTGCTGGTCAATTGTTCGAGATTCTGAAGCAATATACAGCCTGTTCAGAATAAAACCGAATATATCTATATATATGGGGCGTGGCCTCGCCTCTCTCCAAGGCGCTTCACAGTTGCTTGTGTGATAAACGACATGACGAAAGGAAATAATGCAAAAAATCTCATTAGCGATGCAGTCTATTTGCTTAGCTACTGTGTCGCGCGTTGGAGGGAGGCGAGGCCACGCCCCATATATATATATATATATATATATATTCGGTTTTAGTCTGAACGAGCTGTATAATCGTCAAACTAAACGACCAAGATTTTATTCCAACATGTATTGAATATAAGATAAATACAAAAATGTGTTTCATTAAAAAAATATAAAAAAAATATTTAAAAAAAATCAAAATATAAACTTTTTTTATATTTGTTTTTTGTATTGTGTAAAAACATACAATATTTACAAAAAAATATATTTTTAACCGAGTAAAAAATGTACAATCTGTATAAGCATAAATAATAGGAATGACGGCTTAAAATTTTTTTATGACGTGATCTCGTGAAACTGTGAGACACGGGTACGTTTTTTTTACCTCTATTTTCAAAATCTGCTAAAATTTTTCATGGGAGGGAAATCGTGTTGTACTGTGTTACCAACAATATTTCTATTTATTAAAAAGTAAACAACCATTTACAAACAATTAAAATAATTTATTATTTACATTACCACGTGGTACTGTACAGTAAAAAATGGCCGATAAGAAGCATTTTCCTTTGAAGTAGTTTTCGCTACTTTAAAGTTTTTTTCCACTTTACGGTTGTTTTGGTTAGTACCATAAACGTTCCAAATACTAAAATAATAACTTTTAAGTTATTAACTTTGTAGTTTTTAACTCATGTTCCAGTTTCGAGATTTTAACTTGCAAAGGGACTACAAAGTAAAAATAATTATAATGTAATCTTTAGGTAGCCACCGAAAGTAACTGCTACAAATTAAATTTACTTGAAAGTTTTTTTTACTTATAACATCTTTTTTAAAGTTGCAAAGTCTTCTTGGGGGCAACCAAGTTTTACTTAAATGTTTATTACTTTATAGTAACAATTTAAGGAAAAATTAAGTTTCTGTTACAAAATATTGCTATTTAAAAGTTAGAATTACTTTTAAGTAAAAATTAAAGTAGCTGTTTAGTATACTTAACTAATTTAAAGTTATCACCACTTTGGCAATGGTTTTTGGAACCAAAAATGCTGCTTGGGGTAGTAAAGTAAAGCTTTTCACAGATTTTTCTGGAAATTTATATATAGTATTGGGAAGGGTCCGCCGATAGCGCAGTGAGTTAAGGTATTGTACTAAGTCACAAACTGCGTCCGACGGTACCGGGTTCGACCCCCAGTCACAGTCTCGGGTGTTGTGCTTGTTAAAAAGTCGGTAGATGAGTCTAACTGTACCACAGCATAGAGGAAGGTATTTCCTATATTCTGTGACTGTACCATGGTACATGCATGTTAAAAAGTGGTTGGAAGGGGTGATTCATCGAGGACCGTGGTTCGGATTCCACGTTAAACTGTAGGACCCGCGGAAGGACCGAACCTTATAGCATTGAGTAAAGAACATCTTTACTCAATGCTTATAGGCTTCGCCTATAAGATGGATAGGTCGATAGCGTTACTACTTACTTTAGTATTGTCAACTTGTGAAGTTTAAAGTGCTACTAGCAACCAGATCACAAATATTTGGTTGTCTATCTAAGGTTTCGAATATTGCCAATAGATCTTGCAAAAATGAATAAAAAATATGTCGGTGCAGAGAAGACAAAAAATCGGCTTGATAGAGAACAGAAATGTGCTGTTGCCAGACAATAAAATAATTTTTTAGTAGAACTCAAATTTTGCAAAACTCTCAAATCTCTAAAGAATGTACACAAAAAACTTGGAGGTCATTTTTTAATTGGGTGTGTATAGGGCCCAAAAAATAAATTAGTTATGGGGCCAGAATTTGGATGTGGTCCAGAAGAAACGTTGATCTACAATCATTATGGTGAGTCACACATTTTTTGTAAATTTTGAACACCCCGTTCTCCCTTTCACAAAGTCTCTCCCTTCAAGTTCACACGTCACAATATTTTTCCTGTTTTTTTTCTAAATCTATTTATGTAATTCCATTAAACAATTTTGAGTAGAGCATAATATGTTTGAAGTAAACATATTATGCTCTACTCAAAATTGTTTAATATAGATTTATATTATAATATATTATATTAGATAATATTTTTTAATTTATAATTACTATTTAGAGATAACAATATTTTTTTAATATTGCAAAAAAAACACTTCGTCACAAACGGTAATCCCCATCCGCCCAAAACGTGTGACGTACATACTTTATGGATGACCCCTTAAATAAATATTTTGCATAATAAAATTAATTTTCCTCAAATTCGTTATTACAAATATAAACCGATCTTCTCAGTAAAGGTAATTAATAAAAATGATGTACCTATTTACATAAAAAAATTGTTATAACCCTTAAAATGCAGAGCAAAGTATATTTCAAGAACCAAATTTAGGTAGCAAACAGACTACCAAGCCTACACTAAGTAGTAGCATGAGTTGCCTAACGTGAAATTTTATTTTATCTACTGTGGGAGATAACAATTTAAATTAAGTGCGCGGTCATCCTCATTTGTTGCAAATAAAACAAACATATAATTTACTATAAATTTATTTGTATAAATATACTCGACTACAATAAATATTTGGTATAAAAATTACTTTCTACGCTTATCTAAACTCATAAAAATAGATTAGTATAGATATCAATTTATGTACAATTTTTTGGTAATTAGCCGTATTTGGTTTACTAAAACTAGAATTTATAAATAATTATCAGAAACACAACCAATCGGACTAGGTTAACATTGCAATTTTTAGTTTGGTTAGTTAAAAAATAATCATTTTATCATTATAATGATTGCACAATAAATACCGCGATATAATTTGGTGGTGTATGGCTCCTAGTTTTCCACTTTTTCCCATTCCCAGTCGCCTTCTAACGGGGTTTCGTTCTCAAAATCAAAATTCCATTTTTCCCTAGCCATCTGCATTTCCTGGGCGAGTTCCTGGGCAGTTCTTTCTACTAAAGCATTGAAATGTTCAGCGATGTTTTCATCCTCGTTGCTTTCTTCATTTTGAAATAACTTTCTGACGACCGGTTTTCTGGGATTTTCGTGGGGAGCCATCGAACAATTTTAACTGAAACAGTAAAACCACGTGAAACACAATTGCTATGGCAATGAAAACAATTATTTACGTATCTACACGTGCAGCAACGCTACAGTTTACAGTGAATAGGACTGATCTAATAATACGAATTCAAAGGAAAAATCGATGCTGCTGCGTTTCAGGCGCGCCTGCGCACAGCTGGAAATTTTCGGGAAATTTTATGCCTTCCTGTTAGCTGCAAAATTTTCTTTCGCATTAAACCCACCTTTTGAGGCATTCCAGGAATTCTTAGCATTCCTAGGTCTCGAGTAAAAAAGTGGTTATGTCGGGATTTTATTAACAGTTTTTCTTAAAAAATTACAAAAACATTAAAATTGTAATGTAAATACATAGTTAAAAGTAAAATGTTCAAAATTTTCTTTGGTTTATACCTAACTTGATTGATTTATTATTAATTATAGCAATATATAAAAGTTTAAATACCTAAACTTGAAATAATTGTGAAAAATAAATACAGGGTGTAAAGGCTGGAAAGATATTAACCGGGGATTCCTTAGTAAAAAATAATAGTTCTTTTAAACTTTTCAAACCAGTATGCGAGTACGAGGTGTTTTTTTAACTTTTGAAAACCTTATGAGAAAAAATAGTATTGTTTTGTAATGCCTTTTTAAATCTTATTGAATAAGCCTTATTCTATTGTTTTCTGAATCATGGCATATATACCTGCTTTTGTTTTATTAACCTGTTTAGGCTGTGAAAAAAACGGTATTTACCTTATAAGAAAGAAAGTGGACGTGTAATCAGAACGTTAAAAAGTTAAATAACTGAATCAAACTGTCAACAGTTTCATGCATAATTTAATTATAAATTATATAATACTGAATGAAATCCCGCATTTTTGTTTATTTAGGAACTGGTTTAATAGATACCGATTAAAATAAATAAATGTATTACCTTAAATCAATTTATATTTTTACCTATGAAAGGTTATGTTACGGTAACATTGTTACCCGAGAACGATTATTTTACCTGTGAAAGGTTATTCCAACTTTTATTCTCATCAATATACCATTTATAACTTTTACAACCCTATACAAAACAAACCACCATTCTATTTTAACAAAATCCCAAAAAACAAACTTGTTTTAATATGAACCTATATGGTATTTACAAAAAGTTTAACTACGGGAAGACACAGAAGGTAAATTTTATTTAAAATAAAAAGCAAATTTAAAAAAGTAAACAAAAAAACGTTGTTTTTCGAGTGGGTTACCATCGGTTTCTTTATAAACCCCTACTAAAACATTACCAAATAAAGCAATTAAATATTTTATTTTTCCTTGTTTTTAAATATTAAGTATTATATTTAAATTAAATTATTTAATAAATAAATAAATTTCTTCAGACGCATTTAAAATTATTTTAGCTTGTCTTTTTAAATTTCTTTACTTTATGCTTTCCTGCTACAGCTGAATTTTGTTTGCTGGCTACACCTACCTTTGCAGGAATGTGTGGATTAATTGAAGAACTTAAATGAACCAATTAACGAAATTAACCGAGTACATTGTGGTGTGGTGTTTTTTTATGAAGCGCCGTTTGGGCCACGTAAAACAATGATAAAAAAACTTTTTAATGCACGTAGGAAATAAATTTCGCATGAGAAAGTATTTACCACGTTATAGTAAATATTTTTCACATAAAAACCATTCCTCCCTCAAAAATATTTCTCCCATAAAAAAACTTTCTTACAATAAAAATCTTTCTTCCACAAAAAGAAACATTTTTCTCACAAAAATATTTTTTCCCACAAAAACTATTTCTCCCGAAAAAAATATTTCTTCCACAACAGGAAACATTTTTCTCACAAAAATATTTTTCCCACAAAAATATTTCTTCCTTTAAGCAAACTTCCCCACAAAAAAAATCTTTCATAAATTATAAAAATATTTCTCGCGTTATAAAACTTTCTTCCACAACAAGAAAAATTATTCCCATAACAAAAATATTTCTCACAGAAATGAATGCTTCATTCTTGCAACAACAGATGGCGCTCTACACCCATTGATCTAAGCAGGTATGTATGCAATCTACAATTATTTACAGCTATGGCTTGTTAATGACAAGTTGTTGTTTCAACTTGTTTGTGTAAGGTTACATGGTGGTGTCAAGTAAATAATAAGTAAATACAACTGTATTTACAACGTTAATTGGAGTCAGGTAAGTAAATTAATAGCAACTAAGATAAAGATTGTTCACAATACGTCTTCACGTTAAACTTTATCAATATTTATGTTAGTTGCTATTAATTTACTTACCTGACTCCAATTAACATTGTAAATACAGTTGTCTTTACTTATTATTTACTTGACATCACCATATAACCTTACACAAACAACAACTTGTCATTAACAAGCCATAGCGCGAAATATGACAGCTGTAAATAATATTTAGATTGCATACATACCTATAGGTATATTTAGATCAATGGTTGTAGAGCGCCATCTGTTGTTGCAAGAATGAAGCATTCATTTCTGTGAGAAATATTTTTGTTATGGGAATAATTTTTCTTGTTGTGGAAGAAAGTTTTGTAACGCGAGAAATATTTTTATAATTTATGAAAGATTTTTTTTGTGAGGAAGTTTGTTTAAAGGAAGAAATATTTTTGTGGGAAAAATATTTTTGTGAGAAAATGTTTCCTGTTGTGGAAGAAATATTTTTGCGGGAGAAATAGTTTTTGTGGGAAAAAATATTTTTGTGAGAAAAATGTTTCTTTTTGTGGAAGAAAGATTTTTATTGTTAAAAAGTTTTTTTATGGGAGAAATATTTTTGCGGGAGGAATAGTTTTTATTTGAAAAATATTTTTGTGAGAAAAATTTTATTGCGGGAGAAATATTTTTGCACAGAAAATATTTACTATAACGTGGTAAATTTATTTCCTACGTACATTAAAAAGTTTTTTTATCATTGTTTTACGTGGCCCAAACGGCGCTTCATATTTTTTAATCAAATACAATTAAAAGTGATTAAAATTTTAGAAATTAAACCAATACAAATTGTAATATAGAATCCCGTAGATAAATTATTTTAGACACTAAAATTCGTCATAAGTGTGTATATCATGAGATAAAATAATCCACACCTAATAGTTTTTATAGAAACAAAACAAACAAAATAAGCTTTATATAACATGGTTGTACATATTGTACATATTCAGGCACTTCCGCAGAAAACAAAGGGGTTTTAGTTTATTTTACACAACAGATAAATTTGTATAATTCTCTATTCATTGCAACCAACTTTAAAAACAAATTAAAATCCTAATATTTAAACAAATAAATAATTGAAATCCCTTACCATTTTTAATCCATTTGGTTTTGGATTTTGTACGGATGCACCGAGTTCGGTAATAAAACAAAAACTGACTTTTTGTTTGATGTTGTTGCACGGGAGTAATGTAAAACTGTTGCCGGTCGGGCCCCCACGGCCAATGATGTGCTCCCGTTTCCCATTCTCCCACCCCCTCAATTGTTTTCCGTCTATTATTCGGATTAATTACACACAGTTTCCGGTTTTACGCTCCGACAATTTAAAAATCCACGTTTAACTACCATCTCTCTCGTCCGCAAGAACGCTGATAACAATACCTACCTAGACTCGTTAATGATAATGAGAAAAAAATAATTTGCAGCATATAATTTTAAAAAAATACATACAAATTGCATTAATGAATACAGTACATTCTGAATGTTGTTTTAATGGCCTAATTGTTTATCAAATCAGCGACCCACTTAAGTTTTTTTACCTAGGTACTAGTTAAAAACTAATATATTCATTTTAAGAGAATGTATACATTCTCTTAAAATGAATTAGTCAAAAATAACTAATTATAAGTCATATTTGACTAATTGTCATAGCGAAAAAGCAGTCACTAATAATTAGTCAAATTCTACTGAATGAAATAGTCAAATTGGTAGATTTAAATTTAAAAAAGTTTTCTTACTACCTGCTGTTGACATAAAATATCCGCGCACATGCGCAAAACAGCTTTCCAATAATAATTAGTGGTAAAAGTTAGGAGTTTGCAAACTTTTTCCACTAATTGAAAAGTACTACCACTAATTTTTTGGTTGTGAACAACACTGTGTATATTCTTAAGACAAACTTTTACGTTAATTGAAACCACTAATTTATTCGACTTTAGCTTTACTTTAGCGACACTTTGCGCATGACTAGTAGTCATGGGAAAAGTGTCATTGACTACTAGATTTTTATCCTTAGCCGTTAATTCGTAGGCAATTTTTAATTTAAAAAATCAGTTGTTACCCCTCGTATCAGACATTACTTTTAGAATATAGTTCCGATTTTCTATGATTTATCTCAAGTAAAAAAGTCAAAATTCGTGAAGTGAGTATAGGGTAATTAATATGGTAAATAAAAATCGGTAAAAACGTATTTAACATTAAGTACTGGCAGAGCTGTGCGGTACTCGAGTACTTGTACTCAAATTTTGTACTTTCAGTACTTTTTATGTATACTCACTCCAGAGTGCATTTGTACTTATTTAATTTAAAAATGGACACGAGTACATTGGTTGTACTCGAGTACGTTTTTTTTACTCGAGTACATTTGATGTACTCGAGTACTTTTGTTGTACTCGAGTACTTTTTGTAATCGGCATCTTTGTGTAAAGTTACCACTACTGTAGAGGCACTATAGTGCCTTATGTGTACATAATCAAATTTAGCGCCATAATTATAATGATTTAGCGGTTCGGCAATATTCGGAATAAATCCTCGATATGGGCAAGTTGGTAAAATTTCATTGTGGTGCCTCTTGTGCCCTTTTTTTTCTCTGGTAGTGCCGTCATAACGTCATATATAACGTTTTTTTTTTTAATAAATTTTGGGTTATTTTGCATACATATTATTATTTGCATTATTATTATTAGTATTATTTTAAGTGTTTTGGTTTTTGTTATACTGGGGTAAGTAAGATTATAAATATTATTTTGTATTTGATTACCTACTCGATTAAGTTTTTGTTATATTTGGTACGCTTAAAAAATTAGGTTATATTTTTGCATTCAATCTTGTTTTTTTGCAGCCATAAATGCATGTTACTTTTATTTAATTTCGTGCTTGCAGTTAAATAATGCATGAATAGGTAGGTAATAAAGGTTATAAATTATATATTAATATACTTATAATATAATATTATTTAATAGAATAGTTAATTTATTTTAATATTATTTTTTTCTGTTTAAAATCAAAATAATTGGTTACTTGGAAGAAAAATATTCAAATCGTAAATAAATTCGTGTAATAAAGAAATATAAAAATGCAGTTTTTTTAAATATGCCGAAGTGACCTAAACCTGATATTTTGTTTTGTTTAACTTTTAACAATTTTTTTTGCTAGATACTGAAACCTAAATTACATTTTAAAAGTACTTTGTACTTGTACTTGTACTTGTGAGTACTTTTGGATTTTGTTGTACTTTGTACTTTGTACTCAAGTACATTTTTTTCAAAGTACTTGTACTTTTACTCGAGTACTTTTTTCTTGTACTTAAGTAGCTCTGAGTACTGGCTTGCCTCATAATATTCCTCAAAAATTTTACTAAAAATTCAATTCGTACCTATAGGGCAGGGTTAAAAAAAACATGGTTTAAAAAATCAAAAAAATCAACAAAAAATTATTTGTTTTAAATTATAAGCTTTTTTAATAAAGTATATTATTAAAAAACCACCGTCCGCAACTGTCATATATTTTTTTGTATATTCCTTTATTATTTTATTTAACAAAATAAGCAGTTTTTCTGTGCATATAAATTTATTTAAATAGTGTCAAGATATTATTGTGCTTTAGTTTTAGGTTTTTTAAGTGTTTTTTTAGATTTTTTAAACTTTTTTTGATTTAAATCATTGATTAAAAAAAATCACTTGATTTAAATCGTAATAGGGTATATTAGAAACATTTTGTCCTTCTAAATAAAAAAATGGTTCACTTCTCTAATCTGATTTCACTTCTCTAATCTAATTTAGAAGCCAACTGCTTTTAAGAATAACTCAAGAAAGGCGAATCGTATCAAAAAGTTTCAAGACATAGGGAAACATTTCATAATACTTTTTGGCGTGGCAGATTTGGGGTAAATCAAATCCGTAAAATAACACTCTGTATATTAAATCCAAACATAGTACCAGATTATTTTAGAGCATGTTAAAAAACCTAGTTATGCAGAATTTGTGATTAATACCTAAAGAGTTTTTTGAGATATGATATATAATTTAAATTTACTTTATATAGGTAGTATTTTTTTGCATCAAATTATAATAATTTTTCGATTTAGGAAAAAAAACCGAAACATATTTCCCTCCAAACAAAACTTTAAGATTCATATTTAATATCATCGTAAAACGAAGTCATTGTCATACTGTATATAACTCATACAGCTATGTCGCTATTTATTTATTTTTTATAATATCCAATATCTTTATTTTCAATAACAAATTATTTGGGTTGAATATAACTACATAAAGGAAACATCAACAAATCATTTTTTAGGAAACTCTGTATATTAATGTCGTGGTGTAATAAACTTGCATATTTATCAAATAATATCCTCAATTAACCAATATCAATATTACAATTTATCGCGATTAAATGTATTCTATTGTTCACTTAAATTATTCATAAATAGCATACTATGGTGGTGTATCACAAAAGTTTCCTATTTTTGATAAAATTTATCATAGACGTAGTTAAATGTTAATGTAACTATTAAAAAAGAAAATGTTAAATTGAAAAAATGTTCTACGCCCTTGTCGACTACCTAGTAATTAGAAAAGAATTTAATTAGTAATATTCTTTTAGCAGCAAAATTTACAATCATTTCGATATGACGAATTTCCTCCATATCGAAAATACAACGGTATATAAAGTTGAAAATTTCATAGAGAACATCAGTTTAGTTATAGCGAATAATGACAATACTTCGAGCAGCAGTTTTAGTTTTGGTACTGCTTGTAGTTACACAGTAAGTTTATTGATTGTTTTACAATACAACATTGAATTTAATTAATTCCATAGAGCGGCTCCAAAACCAACAGAGGAAGGAAACCTAGTTGATGGAAAACTTATTGTAACAACTCAAGGATCTGCAAAAATTACTGTTGAACATTCCAACAACGTAACTGGACCAGTTACGGTAAAAAGGCAAGCTACAAATCAATCTGTTGTCTTGGAAAAAAGTTCCAAAGAAAGATTGTCCGATGAAGTTCTACAAAGATTAGGGCGGCAAATAGAAAATAAGACCCAAGTCAGAGCGGAAAGAGATACTGAAGATCCTAAAAATATCTCTATAGATGCTTTGATCAATCAACCGACAGATCAAAAGGCTACATTGGAGTTAAGACAAAAACGAGAATGTGACGATAATAAGAACAAAGAAAAATCAAAGGTGACTTCTAAATCAAAACGTGACGATGACACAATTAAGAAGGAACCTGTAGCATCTGAAATAAACGAAAATATCACTTTAACACAACATGAGGCTGTACAAGTCAAAAATGAAACTGTCGCCATAGATGCAGATAAACCAAAACGTGAAGTTGAAATAAAAGATAAAACTACTCCAAAATCCACAATTAATGCTGCTAAAACAAAACGTGAAAATGAAAAAGCCATGGAGGCAACAAATTTTACAGTAGGTGTTGTTAAGCCAAGACGTGATGTTAAACAAGCAAAAAATCAAACAGATATTGCTGCCTCTAAACCAAAACGTGATGTTAAACAATCAAAAAATCAAACAGATATTGCTGCCTCTAAACCAAAACGTGATGTTAAACAAGCAAAAAATCAAACAGATATTGCTGCCTCTAAACCAAAACGTGATGTTAAACAAGCAAAAAATCAAACAGATATTGTAGCCGGTAAACCAAAACGTGAAGCTGTGGAAGCCAAAAATGAAACTGTAGCCAAATATGCAGCAAATCCCACAGATTATGCTGCTGCTAAATCAAAACGCGAAACTGTGGAAGCCAAAAATAAAACTGCACCTATGGATGCATCACAATCCATAAAGAATGCAGATCAAAAATTAAAACGGGAAGCTGAACTAGCCAACAATGAATTTGCAACCACTAACGTGCCTCAAAAAACAAATATTATGAAAATTTCCCCCAGAAATGCAACAAAGTCAAAACGCGAAATTGAAACACAAAAAAACGACACTACATCAGTGAAAGAAGTTTTAATGACAAAACGTGAAGCTTTAACGCCCAAAAATGAAACTAATGTAACTTCAAAAGCCTCAATTAATACTACTACTAAACCAACTAAAACTGCAGCTGTAAATGCTACGGAAGTAACTAAAAAATCAAAACGGAATGATGATGCGTTAAACACTAATTTAACGAGAACAGAAAGAAGTGGTAACCAAAGTCACCACCATCACGTTCACAAAAGATGCGACAATGCAAACATTGAAAGCCATGAAACCAGAAAACAAAGGTCCGTAAAAGAAAGCGCCTCAAACATAAAGCCTACAAATCAAGATGCGCCTGCCAAGTTGGTCGATGTTTCGGGATCAGATTCGAATAGAAGTAGAAGGGATATTAATCCTGCACACTGCAGATGTGGAGTGTTTGCTAAATCTAAGGTTTCCGTTCACGAAACCCCATTGCACTCGAAAATATTTCCAGTTATTTGCGAAGGACAAGTAGAGGAAGTACAAAGCGTTTGTTCGAATTTGTGTAAAAAGGAATTGGACATTAATCAGTATAATAACGAGATGTGCTTAAATGTTAGCGGACAAAAGAGAATTTCGGTAAGAGTTATTTTTATATTACTTAAGTTTTAGGTTAAATTTATTTAATATTTTAATATGTCCTTTACACATAAAAAATATTTTTTTATCGATTTTTAGCTCAAAATGTTTATGAAGCCATGCAAGGAAATAGATGAATGGAACGACACCAGCTATTCCTCATTGCTGTGCTGCAATAATCATAAAGTTGTTACTTGTTGGTCTTAATTTATTTGTTTATTAATTTTATGACGACCTGGCTATGAATTTGAATTGTATTATAATTTTTATATTTAATAAAGATCATTCAAAATGAAATATTTGTATATTTCTAATCATTTTTTAAGCTTGAAAATCTAAAATTATTGTTAAAAAAGGAATTTTAAATTGTTCACACCAATAGCACACAATCGTTATGGAGATGATTTTTTATTAATAATTATTATATTAAGCATTTAAATTTCATCTCCGAAATAACACACATCTAAAAATGGTTCTTTAACAAAGCATTTGTAGCGAGCTGAACTTAACATGGTTGACAAATGTATTTTTTGAAAGTTTGTATAAAAAAATCAGTTTTTTATTTTACCCTTCATGTGCTGTGTGTGCATCGCTCTATGAAAAAGTCTGAAAATAGTTTACTTTGACCTAGAAGGGATAAAATGAGGTTTTCCGGTATAGAAATATACCGGTATTTCTGAATATCGCAAGCTTTGACCTTTCAGCGAGGTATTTTGTGATTTGGGTAATCGATTTAGTGGATGTTTCAATATTTAAAATTCCACATGTCTGTGGGTGGATGGCTTCGAGAAGCTTATGGACTTAAAAACTTGTAACTGGGCAGTATACTTAGGCTCTTATAAGAGCCTAATTGCCTCAAGTCCAATTCTCTTGAAATAGAATAATATTACAAAATGTCCGAAAGTGGAAAATTATTAAATTATTAATGAAATTATTAAAATTTAAAATTCCGAAAAAAAATATTAATTTTTCGATAACTACGATCTAATATAGATAAAAAAACTTGTATTCGCTTAATAATTAAAAACAAAAAAAAAATAAAATAAAAAAAAATACAAACAGTGTAGAAAATGGATTTATAGTTTTCGAATAAAAAAATCAAAGTGTGCCGATATGCCACAGCATCAAAAATTTATTTCAAATAGCTTGTTTCAAGACAAGAAAAATGATTGGTCGTTCGTCAAAATCGCTTTAAAAAATCATATCTCCAAAAACAATTGTCAAACCGTGTTCAAATCAAAATTGAATTGGAAAAATTGCCAAGGAATTTCGAAATGGCAAGGGATTTTTTCGTGTCGAATTCACGTGGGATTTCCCATAAGATATTAAATTATTCTTATTTCTTATTTTAAGTGAGCATGAATACGCCTTTAGTCAAAGGGCTGAAAATATAAATAGTGACTTTTTGGCATTTTAGTCATGGGCTTCAGTCAGTGACTAAAACGCCATTAAGTCACAGCTCGTCATGTAGGAGTGGATAAATATTTATATACGGTAATATAATATAATTTTATTTTAAACTATAGTTTTGCAGTATACCTCAAAAATGTAATTTTAATTAAATAACATTTCGTAATAATATTAAATATCAAAATATGAAATGTTGATAACATTAATTTTCTTTTGTTGACAAAGTCAATTTAATTTGCACGTCAAACTAAAGCAAAAACAGATAAAAAGCGTTAAAATTATATAAACAAACTATCTATTTTGCTGTGTCGTCTTTTTGAAGCTCGAAATGAGGATCATTTTGATTTTTCTGCTTTTTGCTTTTCTGTAAGTAAATCCAAACAATTTTTTGTTAGAAGATATAATAAGTGTTTCAGATTAAATCTATATTTTTGTGAAGAATTGATCGAATTAATAGATTCCCAGAAAAAAATAATAAGAAAAAGAAATGTTAGAATAAGACCATGTTACAATTGCTTTGGTCAGATTTTTGATATGCCTTAATAGTTTTAAATACATAACAGTTCTGTATTTTTTCTTTATGTTAAATGTCTATGTAAAATACAATAATTTAACCATTAAAAATAACCGTTGAGATTTAAAACAGCAAATTTTCTTACTGTTGATATTTAATACTAAATTTTAACGATATGGCCCTACCTGAAGGTAACAGAAGTACAAGTCTCGAATCTCTTGAGAAATGGTGGTACAGATGTTGTTTGAAACCGCAAAAGTTTTAAATTTTTAGCACTCCACAGGAAGTAAAGTTTAGACTAAAAGCGCGTGTGCTTGGAACCCGATCCCGAAGACACATGTCCCCAGTCGTTTTTAGGACATTAACCATATGCCACGAAGGTAATTGATTTATTTACACTACGGTGCGCACAATTTAACTTTGTACGATGAGAAAAAATAATACGATAAATTGAACAATTTGTTGATGTTTTCTGGATTCATTTGAGCATGCAGCTTTTTTTAATTCGCATTTAAATAATTATTTTAACAATATCCCATGTATGATTCCTTTATTTTTATCAGTGTATTTTGTCGTTCAATTTAAATTTTAATGGACTTAATAGTCTAGTTATGTAATAAATAAAACTGACCTTCTTCCTAATACGGCTTCATTCAAATGATGTAAAAGGTCTTGAACATTGTCTTGAATTTTGTACACGTCAAAATGTGATTAGTTCTAAAATGTTAGGTTAAGATTTTATAAAGCGTATTTAAATTATTTTTGCTAGAATTAGTTAGGTAAATATTTTGTTACAGTGATTTTTGATTGTCGGTCTGGTTTCTAAATGAAACTTTGACTCTCCTTGGTGTTTAAAACAATTTTTTCTTCATACCTTGTTCGAAAGTACTTACTTTCGTCCCTAATAACATTAAACTTTCGGCCCTTATAGTGTAATATACTATTTGTGTGTATTTATGGTAAATTGAAAGTAAAATCTGCTTAAAAAGGCTACAACAAAAAATCTTGAATGCAAAACGCTGCAAAATCGATGTATTTTAGGCACTTGACGTGGTGGAATTTTTAGGTCGCTTGCATTGTAAATCAGAAACGTCAACCGCTTTAAAACACGGCGTCTTTTAATAAACAACAATGAAAATGTCATTATTTATTCAAATGTTAAATCTTAATAATACATACTATAGTAAAGGTAATGTTAGGTTTATTAAGAAAGATATTTAACGCGCGGTTCTTGTTTTGCAATATTACCATTTCCTACATTTTAGGCATCACAGATTCATCAACACTGTGGATTTCACAGTACATATTGCCTTTCTTCCATTCAGTCCATGGACCCATTTGTTATATTCTTTTCAATATGCTACCCTAGATTTTTACGGCAAACGAATAATCAGGGCATAATTCTATTTTTTATACGATACATAAAACGTAAAATTAAAATAATAATTATTAAAAGTATACTTTTATAGAAAGTAAGGTTGGGTAGATCTAATTTGATTGGCCCAAACAGGTTTTTATAAACTAAAAGGTAAAAAAGTTTATCCTTTTGGTCTAAATTATTTTTATAGCCTAGGCGATAATCAATCACTTTAGTAGTGTAGGCTGAGACGTGTCTTTTTTTCATTCGTTCAATTGTAAGCTCAAACTTTGAGCTCAGCATAAAAATACTCACTTTTCAGCCTTATGACATAAATAATAATAACACTGTAGGGAGGTGAAAATATCACAGCTAAACGCTCGGACACTTAAACTTAATTTTTGGTCGTAGATTACAAATCCGTGCTTGGTTTAGCTGTATCAGGTCAAAATACAAAGATATTGGAAACATCCTGTATAAATTTAAACATCCTGTATAATTTTTTTTTAATTAAATTTGGCGGGACCCACACATCAGTTCCAAATTAAAAAAATAATAAATTCTTGCAAAATTTGAAGTTAATTGATCAAAATATACACGTGTCCTTTAGGAAATTTGAAATATTTTTTTGCTGATTTTTTTTTATTGAGTATAGTTGAGGATATTATATTAAATGAAATAAAAAGCATAAAACTGTTGGCACAAGAGGAGAATTATATTATTATACAAATTATAATATACAGTGTGTCCCCGGATCGGATTTCCAATAGGAAAAACTTTTTTAAACCTGATACCTACAGCTAAACCGAGCACGGATTTGGAATCTACGACCAAAAATTATGTTTACGTGTCCGAGCGTTTAGCTGTGATATTTCAAAACTTAAAAATTTACCCACAGTGTAATTATCTTTAATCAAAAAACCTCCTATAGGAGTCTATAGACTCCTATATATAGACTGTATTTAGACCAATCTCTAAAAAACCCGTTTGTACCAATCAAAAAATTCAACTTTCTACTTTTAATAATTATAATAATATTTCGATTGGTTAAGACCCCTCCCGGAATTTTGTCGCCGGGCCGAACTATACGCCCGATTAGGCTAGTGGAGTTTGGGACAAGAAGGGAAACCCGTTTGGTTTTCAGGGGACGATAGACTGACCCAAACGTAATTACAATCCGGAATCCCCCTAAACACGGGTTTTTGTAACACCTACATTTAATTGGGGTTCATGACTGGGGCTTCATTGGTTAATACGCTGTAGGGGCCTATCTTCCCCATGAGGTAGGTACTTCTTGTTCGTCTGCGTATGTGTCTATGCTGAAAATTTCGAAACCGCTGTACACAAATTGCACTGTGCGAAAACCATATCTTCACTTTAGTATACTATACCGAAGTGTTGCCGTTTACGGATGGGTGTTCGTGTTGCCGTGTACTAACGATTTATGTATTGTTTAATAAATAAAATTATGCGGTAAGGATAAAATGTTGTATGCCATGCGGCTGAGAAGTGTCTTTTGGTGCTTCGTAAACTGTAGGCATCTGCTACGCGTCGGCATTTAAATTTTAAGCTAAGCACAAAAAGACTCACTGTTTAGTCTTCAGGGTTTACCAAATGGCGGACCGCGGTCCGCTTCTGGATAGTTAGCCAAATTTATTCGAACTGATAAACATATGATGATATTGATGACAAAAGCGTTTAATAATTATACTTATAACATCTAGGTCATAGCTATAAATGACATTTTTTAAATGAAATATTTTTTATTGTTGAGGAAGCGCATAGTAGAGAAAAAGATAGTTGCCTGCATATATGCAATAAATTGAGATAAAAAAACTTGCAATTCCTTATTAAATATTTACTTTAATACACGTGGGCCGCTACAATCTGATAATTCGGACCTGCAATAAAACTAACTGGTGACTCCTGGTCTAGGCCATAAATAATCTAACACGATTTGTCTAAATAATTGACTATATATAGGAATTGAAAATAAATATTTTTATTTAACATTAATTGA